GGATGAGAAAAGCTGCTAGGACCAAGAGGATCCCCTTTCAGGTTTACTGCAGTGTTGTTGCTTCCTCTCAGATGCAGGGAGCAGTAAAGGAGATTATTTCCTGTGTCAAAAGCAGGTTCTGCTAAAACAAATCACAGCTGGATCCAGAACCAGCCACTGGAAATCACTTCCCCAGCAATTTCCTGATGCTTTTATCCCCACCGTTGGGAGTCATGCCACCAATTCAAGGCTCAGCAGGGACTTTGCCTCTGTCCTCTGCTTGCTCACATCCACCTACAGACATCCCATGCTCACATCTAAAAGCTCCTTTGTGCATTTTCCGGATCCAGTTAGCATTCTTTTAGTAGTACAACCCTCTTTTTTTTTTGCTGGGATAAATATGGACCTTTAGCGCTCAGCAAATTAAGTTTATACCTTCAACAGGAAATGTCAACCAGGGTTACAACTATCATTTAGCTTATCAGGCTATTCTTGGTTTGAGCCCTCCTGGCTCCCATCCATATCCATGTGTGGCACCCCTAAAAGTACAGAAGGASGAAGCCCTGAGATACCTCCTGAGTTTCAAGTGAGAGACATGAAGGCTGCCCCAAGGTCAAACACCACAATTCTTATGGAGAAATCCCATGTTTTCACCACACTTGATGCAAGCACAATTGGACGGTTCAATTCATTTCTATTTCCCAGTTTTGGCACAGCTTCCTATTCATGTTCCCCAATTTGTATCCTAGTAMAACTTGAGGCCTTTAAGTTGTTTTATGTACAGCTGTCTTATTTTCTTCAATCCAGCAGGACTTTTCTGCAGAAGCCTGAGCTGGCTTGTTACCATTCTCCTAGTTCTAGTTTGTTTTGGAAGCAGAAGGCCTCAAACTGCGAAACTCCTTCAGAGAGGTTACAAAAAGCTTGGAAAATTCCTCTTTGATCTTTGCTATGTTTCTAGAATCAAGATAGGCTGTATTCCCATTTTTCCACCTGAATTGATTACACCAAGTTTCTAGGTCTTATGCTGACCTCTATTTCACCTTCACTGAAAAAGCAACTTGCAAGAAAGATGGAATGAAATATCAACATTCCGATTTTCAAACTTTCTGAAAAAAAAGCAAAACTTTTTTTTAATGAAGGGTGCAGYCAGGATACTGCAAGTCTCCATATCTATAAGTTCTCATGTATAGTTACCAAAAGAAAACTTTAAAACATCCCATTTCATACTGTTATATAATATTGAAGTGCATTTAATAAGTATTTGATCACTTTGAGACTGCATTATGTATTTGCAGCAGCTTTAAGTGAAAAATGATCATTCATCAAATTAAATTCATTTTAAAAGTCCCTCTTTTTTGAAACAGCAGCTCCAAAGTTCATAATTTCCACAGCAAGTCCTGAAATTGAAATGGAAGAAGCAAAGCTGTGATTTTGATTATGATGCTGTGATAGATGAGCCAGTAACCAAACATTCAGAAATTAGTGTAAAATGATGCCACTAGACTATGAAATGCAACTATTTTGATGTTGACATTTTCTTGCCATTTTGATCTGAAGAAAAAAATGGTTTTAGTTATTTAGACTGTAGTTCAAACAGTCCTATTTTCATCTGAAAGTTGTTGATGCATATTTCTTGTCAGTAACGTGAAGAATAAGCTTTTTATAGATTTCCCTGATTAAAAATATTACATAAAAACTGTGCTGTTTGCTTAGGATAATAGAAGTGGTTGCCTTCTCCAGCTAAGCTCCAGCCCCTTTAATTTACAAATTCCAGTCACCTAACAATAGTCTGYTCTATGTTTCTTAGCATACAGCAAACATTGGTTTTCAATAATTGAGATATTAATATCTTTTTGTAGATTTTTTCCTCCTACTGTTGCTTCTCCTTAAAGCCAGCTCCAGTGATAAGATGACTTCTTTAGATTTGCATTCCAGGCTTTAAGTGATTCAGCCAGGTGTTCCTCATATGTCTGCATCAAAGCCACACCAAAGAGGAGGGAAATCCCTGGTTTTCTAGGGAGTGCTTCCTTGTCCTATTTCATCAAATTAGCACTGGCAGGAAGGAGAAGGTAGTGATAYGCTTCACCACTAAGCAATATGTGCYTAAAGCCTCATTAACAGCTTTTGCTGCATAATCACAGCATGGCTCAATCCAGCCCTAGAAAGCTTCTCTGGCTGAAGTTAAGACAAGACGCTTTTTTAGTCCTAATGCAGCAATTCTGTTAGCAGAGTCACTTCCAACAGAATTTTATGTAAACCATAACTTTTCTCTCTAGACTTCAAAGCGGTAAATCTACAACTAAGGAGTATGCCTTTACTGGGACTGAAATGCAGTAAGGCCCAGATACTCTAAGCCTGGATCTTCATCCTAGCTGGATGCTGTGCATCCTGCTTCTCTATTCCTGCCCCTCCCCACTCTCAGTCCTTGTCTATAATGTGTTCAAGAAATACAACCTTCATTTCCAACACAGAATTCTCTTTCCCATGTTTGTCACTTCAATTGCATTACGCCACGTTTCATACAAGTATGCAGAAGCAGTGAAGCAGATCCTTTGTTTTCAAACCCATTGAGTTTGAAAGCTTCCTGTCATCTCCAAGCACATTTTTTCCAGTCCGTGTGTCTCATTCTGGGCCATTGGTATCACATCACAGAATCACAGAAATAGAGAATACCTGGGGCTAGAAGAAACCTCAGGAGGTTATCTGGTCCAAGCCCCCTGCTCAAGCAGTGTCAGACAGAGCAGGTTGCCCAGATCCATGTCCAGTCAGATCGAGAAATAGCATACAGAGAGAGCTCACAGGAATACCCTGCACAAACACAGCAAGTATAAGAGCTTCCATGACTTCCAACCATCTCCTATTATTACTTCTAAAGGTAGAGCCTGGCCAGCACTCAGCCATTTCCCCTTTAAATTAATTGGAATAAAATGGATAGTCTATTCCATTGTTCTTGCTAATACTTGAAGTGTTCCTCCATCCCTCAGATGGCTTTGATGTCATCTAACTCCACTTGAAGGGGAAAGAATGTGTGATTGGGAATAATTAACAAGCTAAAAATGACTTTGTCAGAACATTTGTGTTATTCAATTACTTGCAGCTACCAGCTTTAGAGAGCTGAGGAAATGGTTGAGCACAATCAGAGCCCTTTAAAGAGGAAAAAAAGAATAGTCTTTTGTCAAAGCATGCAGACTTGAATTCAAGAAGTGCAGGTTTGCCTCCTGATTCTGCCTCAGTAATCTTGGGTAACATCAGGCACATCACTTAACCTACCTTCACTTCAGCCCCTCATACAAAATCCCCTAGTGACTCTTGCCTCATTATAGCAAAAGCCAATATTAACATTACAACAGAGCTGTCTCTTATCCTGCATTCCTACCTCACCCAGCATAAAAGAGCCCTGGCTTTTGTCAGTGCCTCTGGGCACTACTATAATACAAAAAATACTCAAGTCAAAAGTCTTTCCCCCCACCCCACTCTTCCTATGTGGAGCATTGTTATTTTGAGGACATGCAATAATAAAACTGCCAGCCTTTATAAAAAGGACTGTGAGCAATCAATAACATTAAAAAAAAAAACCAACATATGGCTCTTCCTTCTGCCACTACAAAGCAGAAATAAAGACACTTCTCTTGTCCCTCTACAACTGATTCAGTAACTCAGATATCTTAGTTTCTTGTTGGATAGAAAAAACACAGCACATGTTACAGAGARGATTGCTTTAAAAAAAGTTCTAAGCTTAATAAATTGTATTTCATGCCTGGATTTCCAAGCATTTGAGCTATCTTAGTTGTGCAAGTAAGATAGCTGTGTTCCATCAGCTGTGCCAGGATGTAGCCCCAGGCTCTAGTAGATTTAACCTCTTTGAGCTACAGTGAAAAATTCAAGACTAGATTTAGACACCCTGCTCACTCCCAGCTCTACTTGAAATYTATAACTCAGAAGATTAGCTTTTATGCTTTTTTGAGCCATTGTGCAGCCAAACAGCTTTGCAGAGAGCAACAGCCTGTATGCAAAAACAAACATAATCTATAAGATACTTGACTTACTTAAAAAGAAGAGACCCCCAAAAGATGAACTTCTAGCACAGCCCTTTGTCTAGAGGGGAGGTGGAATGGMGAGCCCTCAAAGCATCCAAGCAAAACCACCACCTTCCCCCACCTCTCTATTTCATCCCCTTTGAATCAAAGCTGGACCTAGCAACATCTGCAACTCATTAACATTATCTCCAGCATCTGTGGTTCTTTACTCTTATATAAATCCTCAGCTTAGGCCTACTTGCAACTCATATGATGCTTTAATAAGGGAAGAGTCTGGAGGTGGTTCTGAGGGGGGAGGGGGAAGATGAGTGCCTCACTAACAAGGGAGSCTAAGGGGTTTTTATGGTGCTGTTATTAGTGAAGTTTAGGGTTTTGCTCTAGGAAAAAAAATGGAACTTTTAAAAAAGATGGAAGAAAATCATATTTGTTTCATAATGTTATAATTTTGATAGGCAAATCTTTCCTTGTGATAGTTATCTTGTGAATATAGTCTTTATACTGTGTGAATTTGAAGGGGCCATGCCAGAACCTACTATTCAATAAGGGGTTGCTAAATTAATAGCAAGAATATTGCTTCAATCTAGCTCTTCTTTCTCCTGTAACTTATTTGATTTCTTTTGTTTTAAAGGAGTTCTTGTATGTCTGGTTGCCTTTTACCTGTTTGATGTCCYTGTGCTTTTTCAGCTGAGGGGTATAGCACAGAGCATCTGACTTGAAGTGCCTGCAATGATTAAAACTCTGTAAGGAGTCAGCAAAGCAGTTGTTGGTTGCAGTATGTGAGGAAGGTTAGGTTGTCCTTGACAACTAATGTAGCACAGYCTGGTATGCATAAAAACTACTGGCCTTCTCCAGAGGAAATATCTGGGTTTTTCTAAGCTGCAAGGCACCCAAAGCAGTGCACTGTGACTCAGCACCCTTATTTGGCTATTTTTGTGGAGACAGAAGGCACTGAATACAGCTTATACTGCTAAATGTTTGCTGTGGAAGAATTAAATGCTGTAAGGAAAACACTTGTGATCACTTATGTGTTCTGCTGGTAAGTGGAGGAGTAATGTTTTTCCTAAGGAGTTAATCCATTGCCTGGGACCTTGAGGTCTGTCTCAAAAGCTGTAGCTAAGATCTCTGCCTTTAACCACATCCTCTGTGTTGTGTGTTCAATTTGTGAATGCTTTTTGTTTCTTTYGGTCCTAATTGTGAAGAGAATAAAAGGTAAGGGGGGAAACTATTGGGAAGTGACGGAGAAAGTAAAAATGTGATATATCACCCAGACTGCCCAATTGTCACCAACTTGGAAGGTATCAAAATGTAAGTATGTTAATGAACAGGCTAAAAGAGCATTGGAAATTGAGTCAACCGTTATAAGGAGAAAACAAATCCTAACAGTTGTGTTCAATATGATCTGAGAACTTTCAGGGTCAGAAATTGTAGCAATATATATTCAAACACAAAATTTTAAATAACATCTGACAAGTGCCGATGTCCTGATCTGAACCCTTTCTACTAGCTGAGGAAGCAGTACAAGATGTTTGTCATGCACACCCCCACCAGCATGCCACCCCCCCACTGCCTATGCATGGCTGTGTTCTCTCTCCACTTCAGTTTAGATTTCTTCTTTGAACTTTAGTTCTCATTATTTTTGGACTTGTCACTTTGTTTGGAAAGATTTATTTCCAGTGTTTCTTCTCTGTTCTTTCCTTGCCTCTTCTCCTCTGGATGCTTTTCTGGCAAAGGCTATTGCTATTTTTTTATGACTTTGTGTACTGTTTCAAAACAGTAAAATGTTTTTGAAGCAAGATGATCCGGTGTTGCTACGTTCATGCAGTAGCTCCTCCACCTCTGCCCTTTTTTAAAGGGCTTGTGCCATACTTCTGGGTTTTTTGGTGTTCATTAAGAAAATCAGATTGTGAAGAACAAAACCCAACAAACTCCAAAATGTACTTTCTCCTGTACTGATGCTCTGGTGTGCTTGAGGTTTTGCCTTACTTCCTTTTTCAGTAAGTTAGAAGAGAAATTAGTATTAATTTGGGAGTCTTTCTGTTATCACATCAATTTTTCAAAGGAATGAAAACAATAGTTCTGAGATTTCTGTTAAATGCTGTTCAAAATAGGGAAGGGGGATAGCCAGCATGATTTCTGAGTACTTGCTTCCTTAGAATATCAGTGTTAAAACTTTTGTGCCTAAGTGTCTCGRGTCATGTTGTACCATGCTAGTAACAACTGAACTGATTTCATTTGGAAGTTGGAGGCCAAGATCTAAACCTAATTTTAGTACCTGAAAAATCATGCAAGTTTATAAGTACACATATAAATAGACATGAGTGGCTGCAATGTTTTTTCTTTAATGCCCTGGGGTAAGGCTTCCCTATATGAGGTGGGTAAGGACAGAGCTAGCAGAGACATGATGCTGCAGTTTTAAATCTTCTGTCTACTGACTCTTTTTGACAACTCTTCACTTGATTCTATACACTGAATAAATTCATTGAATATTTGATATCAAGATTAGTGGGAAAAGCTGCTTCTGGGTATTTAATTGGTACATCTTGAATGTTAATTGCATGTTGGGTGGGACACAAAGCCCATATCTATTCTGGCTTTAGAGTAAAAGTGAAAGCAATATTTAAAGACCATTTTTTGGGAGTGGGAGTAAACACTTATACTTCTCAAATCTTTCTCATTTTTTTCCTAAATTCAAAGTTTTTAATTCCACTCTTTTATGACAGAAAGACTTTCTGAAGCTCTTATGTAACATGATTTAATCAAACTCCCAGATAATGAAAATGATGCTAACATTGCTTAAAATTGGAAAACACAAAAGTAATGAGATGCATTCTTCARTGCCAGATTATCTATAAGAAGTTTCCATCTCTTTTGGCATTTGGCATACCTTATCTACCAAGGCTGTCTAACTGCCAGATGCAACAGACCTGTGTCTGACTACATCTTTTACCAAATTTGAGTTTCAGTTTTCTGGTGCTGAGAAGASAGAAGCAAAATTTTAAGCTGTATTAGAATTCCCTGAGTCAGCACTGGGTCTTCATACTCTATTCAGTACTCTAGGCAATTTGCAGACAGCTTTCTTCCCACTGACTTGCACATTTGAGATTAAAAATGAAGCTTCTATTTGTAAATTTATCTAAGAAAATTCACCTCCTTAAATGTTTTTCACCGAGTCCATAGCTAGATTAAAAGACTTCAAAGTGGGGGAGATGCTTCCATTTCTCTAGCTGATCTGCTTTGACAGCTGTGAACCCTTGTCAGTAGATCTGGGGGCAGTGTGTGGGCTCCTGTGCTCACATAATGCTGGAGTTACAGATTGTGCAGCTCACTGGAGATACAGAAATGCTTGTGATGGTATATGGATGTTTTTAACAGCATATTCCCAAAGGAGAGGAAACTCCCTGATCTGGACCTGTAAGGGAAATCAGTGAGGAAGGATGAATGGATGAACATTAAATTTAGGACCAAAAACAACTATATCACATGTAGTTCTCTGCAGAAAGTAAGACAGTGTCATAGAATCTTGTCCTGGAATACCTAACACTTTTTTAAAAAGTAACCATTTTTTGCATTTTTTCCCCTGTCAGAAAACTTTTTAAAGACCTCATTTCTCTCTGTTACTTTGAAACTTCTCCATGCTTTCCACCTCACACTTTTTTTCCCCCCCTTTCCCTGAGACAGTTTATCTCTGTACTTGTCTGAGCCAGTATTGCCTTTTGGCTGAAATCTCTCTTCTCCCCATTTGAAGAATGACCCAAGTCTACTATTAAATAAAAGTTAACTTGCTAAAAAATTGGACTTTATCTCCTACCACCTGTTCTGTCTTTATTGAGCAGAGATAGCTAGAATTGTACACCAAAGTGAGAAGTGTACATTTTAAGAAGGGGAGAGTGCAGGCAATTCAGGGRAAAGTGAGGGGTTCGTCCCCCCTTTGGTGGAAAGGGATATCACAAAGTCAGAACAACTCTGTCAACATTTGTAATTCTGTTGCAACTTGACACGCCATGAACCAGACTCATGTACAGCTGCAAAAAGAATTATATTCTTTGTGCAGCAGTGCAGGGGTAATAAAGATTTTTTAAAAAGTCATAGGTAGAATAAATGGATATTGTCAAAAAAAAAATCCATTACATCCTGTATTAAAAATAAGCATGTCTCACTTCAGCTTCACCAGGACACAAATACCTCCGTCATTTCCCCTTCCTTTTTGGAATTCGGAGCAGACTTTCAAGGGTAAAACAGAGAAGCCYGAATTCTAGTGAGACCCATAGCATGCAGCTTGTGGAGGACTTTATACAGAAGATTTTTAGCCAACCAGAAGTTTCCTCTGAAAAGTGAAAAACAAATATTATCTGAAGAAAAAAAAAAAGTTAAAATAAGCTGAGGGTGAAAGTGCAGATGTTTGGAGTAAACTGTGTTACAAGTCTACTGGGACAGAAGCTGTGAAAGGAGAGAGCATCTGTCTGTCTATCACTGCTGTTAAGGCGTTTCCCTGTTATTTCTCCTTGTGGTGTGACATTTGCAGTTGTCAGTGTGATAGAGTGCCAAGATCTCCCCCAAAGCCTGAAGAGCCTCACAAGGATCATCCTGTTCTAACTAACATCAACGTCAAGCCTAACAGAATGTCTCTCCTCCCATACTCTCCAACTGTTTTGATTTCCCTGTATTACCAATGGCTATCATTTAGGTTCAAAGGATCCTGCTATAGAGGAACAACTGGCTTTGTGCACAAAGGATGTCCCCACTATATAAGCAAAATCTTTGGGACCTAGCCCCTTGTGAGAATTCTCACTTCAAGAACTTCAGAAATAAGGCCTGTGGTCTCTTCCAAGGTTTATGTTGCAGAYGGAGAGTAACGCTGGTCTTGAATGAAGGCTCCAGCTTGAGTGTAACTGTTGTGGTAGCCTGAATGTCATACAGATCGTCCTGTTGAGTTTGGCATTTTCTCCTTTTAATGCATGCAGAAAGGGAGGAGGGGGAGAGTTGCCACAGCACTGGCTAGAATCTGACTGATCAGTCCTAGGTGGTGTTCCCACGAAAAGCATATTAAAAGCTTCCGAGAATGGATACCCACCTTCTGCGTTTGCAGCATGGGAAGTTGTCATGTTAACACTATTAACATATCTAACTCCATGACACTAAAAGTGGTAGGATAGTGGGTGGTTTGTAGAATTTTTTTTCAAGGCTGTTGTGTATCATGGATGCTTTTAAGAGACAGGATCTGGTGCCCTGGGAAAGCAACTTTTCTTGAGCATCATGTATGTGCAAGCTATTTACCTTCTATTGTAATGTATTTTGATCTCAATAAATAGCACTTAGGTTTGTCATGGAAGCAAAGCATATTTCCCCACATTGCCTTCAGCTGTGTGTTTGCACTGTCTTSACCAACTTCTTCTCTAGTCCTAAGGGCAGCATTTAGCCCTGTCTTTGCCTGAACATTGATCCAGCTTTAGACACCCTCTGTTTAGTTCAGTTCTTATCAGCTGCAGGGAGAAGGGAATCCTGACCATTAGCTTGTGTTTTGCAGAGCTTATTTCAATTCTGTTGACTTTGCTTAGTTCTACTAAAGATGATCCCAAAGGGGCCTATCCATTGCATCAGCTTGCTGCTTGCTTTCAGCTTCTATACTTTTGCTTCCAGGCAGGCAGTCACCCAAGAGCAAAGTCAAATGAACTAGGCTACTAGAAGGCCAGCCAGAGGCTGTTCTTGCACAAGAAGCTTCACCCATCTTACCCAGAACAGGGTGGAGAAAAAGACAAATTCTATGTTAGATTGCTGGCAACGGGACACCCTGAATGTTCTACTTCTCCTTTTGAAAACAAAACGAAATATCATTGCCTTGTGAGCCAGTGCTGGGGGAGACCTGTTATGGATACAAAGGTTTAGCTGCTTGCGATTTCCATCTAGATTTTAGTCTCCAGTGTTTCAGGCTTACATAACAGCCAGATAAGAAAAGCATTTAACAGTGAAGCTGCAAAATCGAACTTTTGTCCTGTCAGGAAATCAAAATGTAAATGTATCCTGGTAAAGTTTTGTTCAGCAATTTTTGTTGTTGATATTTTTTCCCCCTCCTCTTTATTCATTATAATAGCCTTCATTTAATGATGGCACATGATCTTGCTTTTATTTCTCTAGCCTATGGGAACTTGCTCCTATTCTGCCCTGTGTAGATTTTAACAGGGGAAGAAGACATCCTCTACCTGCAATCRGATGCTGCAAGGTTCCTAGCAATCAATTCCAGGAGGCCACGCTCAGCTGATGCTACTGCAAGCAGCAGCGTGAAGAACAGCTAAAGGAACGGCATGCTTGGTGCATGTCAAACTGCCTAAGAATTTAGCTGCCAAACACCAAAAATATTTTCCATTGAGCCTGTGGGCTTTTTGAAGTTCACAGCTTGACCGTATTTATATAGATCTGGTTTTGACATTGATAGTACAAGTCCCATCCTTGACAGCAGAACAACCTTACTGTCCTATTTTACATTCCCATTTTAAGTAAAGGCAATAAAGTTTTTTAATGAAACTGTTGTTTGTTTCTTTTTTTTTCACTTGGGCAAAAAGATGCCTTTTTCTCTTTTCCTTGGGAGCTGAACTGTTSTAGTTGAAACTTCAAATAAAATTAGCCTGAAGCAGATGCTCAATCATGGAAAATTTAAGGATGAGCCAATTAAGTGTGGCAGCTTTATAACCAATCATAAAGCAGGGGTGCTTTTTTGTTAGATGCCATCTGCACTGCCTGGACTTAACAAAAAAAAAAAAAAAAAAAAAAAAAAAAAAAAAAAAAAAAAAAAAAAAAAAAGTGAATAAATAGTACTTTTTTAGGAAACTGTGTGCAAATGTTCTCCCTTTCAATCTCACTTCAAATCCTAACATTGATAAATATGGAGAGCTCAAGGACCCTACACCTCTTCAAGGCTACTCCACAGAAAATACTTAAATACAGACAACTTTTGTTATCTACAAAGGTCTACAGTCATCCCTCAATTCTTCTGAGGCACCAAAGGAGGATGTTACAACCAAAATGTTCTATTCCCAGCTTTGCTATGGTTGAATGAAAAGACCTGTGAAAACAGGAAACTTGAGCATTCCTCATCAGCAATGTGGAGCTCTACTCATGTTCTGTCATCTTTGCTAGGGACATTGTGGTGGCTTTCCTTCCTCGACAACATTAAAARCTCTACAGAGACTTTATGTCCAATGGCTCAAGTCAGTAAAACCTCTCTGCTCATCCATGTCTCCAAATATGTGACTGACTTTGAAAATGGAATTCAGAGCTTTCCTTTAAAATAGATATATAAAAAAAAGAAAAACGAAACAAAGAGGCATTTGAGGCATATTGAAGATGTTTTTGCCTCAAATGCCTCTGACTGTTTAAATCAAACCATTTCGACTAACATTATTGTTTCCAATATATTTGTAATGATGCTACTGCAATGACTCAAGTTATGACATAGGAAGCTTGTGCAGGTCATGTGAGTTAGAGCATTTCACTAATTGGCTCTCTGCAGTACAACCCAAAGGAAAGGCTAATAGTCATTATTTTCTTTGTCTTTATTCTCATGGAAACAGAAAGTGGATTTGAGGTGAAACATCTGGTTTGTTTTGGGTAAATGTTATTTATCTTTTCTTTCCCCTTGGCTCCTTACTTTTTCATTCTATTTTTTTTTTCTAAACTCTTTCCTCTTTTTGGAATAAGAGCCTTATTTGAAGCCCATTGGATTTTTCCATCAACTCCAACAAGATCAGGCTCTAGATACAGATATGGATTGCTTTGCACGCACCTTTATACCTATCCTCTTATGATGCTCAGTGCCAATGTCATGTGCATTTCCTGAATTATCTGTATTATCCTTGCATGCTGCAGTTGAGGAAGATGTCTGTCCTCCAACAACACCATAGGTATTCTGCTGACATTTTAGGGAGCAAGGAAGGGAGGGAAAATCTTTTTTCCCAGTAAACAAAAACAAAAGATCATAGTAGATTAAGGAGAAAGAGATACAAGGTTGAGTCTAATATATTGCAACAATGCCAAGAACATGTCAGTTGTATAGAGAAATATAAATGAGCTTGTATTTTCTTAAAATCTCTACCAGATCATTAACAGCTCAAAGTATGTGAGAAGTGCTCTCTTCTAAGCCCACATGTCCTCTACGGCTTGAAAATCTTCCCAGAGGATGAGCTCTTGGTCCAAGTGACCAGGACACCAACATTACAGACTAAGTTCCTTCCTTCCTAAACAGAAGGCTTTAGACAGAAGTTTTAGGGTTTGATACCAGCACTGCTGGCTGACAGTCTCTGGCATTCAAAGTGCCTACATGCTTAGGAGTGGAAGGAATTTTCTTTTTGCTGCAAACAATCACATATTGTATGTATTAGCAAAAATAAATCTTGCACCTCTTGCATTCAGTAAGGCTTTTTATATCTGTTATTTCTACTGGAAGATTTGGAAGTTTCCAAATCTTGTAGTGCAAATTTAACATGCATTCCCAGCCAAATCTATGGCTATCTGACACCCATTTTAGCCTTGTGCTCCTGGTGTTCTTCATTGGAATATTTTCTTTCTTTCTTGGTCATTTGCTTACCTTACATACTTTAAGAGTAAAATCCTTTTACCCTCTCAGCCTAAGCCAGCTAATTAAAAATCACAGTTTATATAAAAAGGTCTATGTATTCACCCTTGTAACTCTTCCCTCTTCTGCTCTGAATTCTTTATTACTGAAGATGTGTAAACAGAATTGTGCAGTAATGTAGCCTGAGACATGAAACTGTATTCTTGAATGGTCTTATCCAAAACAAAGTGTCTATACCATTTCAGGTTCATTTCTAGCTTCAGAACTGAACTGGAGACAATTTGGCAGAAATAGGTGTTGAAATCACACTTGGTTTCTAAACCAATTGTTAAAGTTCTCTTCCAGCAGACTCCCTGTGCTGGTGCAGTTGTGTGCTCTCTCTTCCTGCTTATTAAAACTAGCTCTAAGTCCTGATCCCAACTCCACCAGTTCCAGCTTTCAACCTTGTTCCCATATCCCACTCTCTTTTAGCGAGCCAGCAGACTCTTGGCTGACACTATAAACCTGCCTAGATTCTCTTTTCTCTCATCTATGCACAGTACCTTTCTTTTTTTCCTCTTCTTGTAGCCAAGCAACCTTATCTTATCTGTGCTATCTTCCTTTCAGAAGTTCACCTGTGTAATGAGAACAGTTCCTTGTAGCCTTTTAAGATATTTGTCGATCTTGGAATTACTCATCATTTCACAGAATTGTTCCTAAAAGCATCATCGCTACAAGCAATCAGTAAGATCACCTGTATTTTTTTCTGCCATTCTCCTCTATTGCCACATTCCCTGCATACAAAGGTGCAAAACAAGGATGAGATTTATCAAAACGAGTGAATTCAGTGGGAGTAAATACTTGCAGAACAGTTTGTCCTCTCTTCCTTTGCCTGTCAGCATAACTGAAGTCTGCAGGTGCATGAACATCTCTAAAGCACATGTAAAGCTRACCACTGAGTCTGTGGAAAGATCAGTCCTTGAATTATTCACTAAATTATCTGTGCACACTGCAAGGTTTACACCAAGGTAGAGTAGAGGGGAATAATAAAGCCCTACGTTGTACGGGCTTGTAAAATATGGTGGAAGGAGTTGTCACCAGAATGCAACTACCTTGCCAGCCAGAATGAAGGGAAAGCCTTTTCCCTGCTTGTCCAATACAAGGCACTGTATTAGTGTGGCCCCTCAGGAGCGTTTGCAAGTAAACGTGTTTYGGAAATTAGCAATTTCTATCTTGCTGCTGTCAACCAAAATACTTATTCTCAAATAACTTCCATTTTTCTTGGCTTTCATTATGTCTGTTTCTGTTTTCTCCATTCATAGGATCTTACAGGAGGAAGAGCACGATTACTGTGCTACAACCATGTTCTCACACGATCTGGCTGTTTTCTGAGATCTGCAACATACTGTGCAAAAGGGACCTCCAGAACTCTTATGCCCTGGTAAGGATTAAATGTGCAGACAAAATGTGTGAGCAGCAGACAAGATTGCATTGTAACAAGCTGTTCTCCAAGGACATTCTTCCACTTGTCCCTTGAACGGGATCCGAAAAAACATCTGGACCGGGCTTTTTGTCACATAACTTCAAATATGTTGATATTTCACTTCAGTGACACATTTTGATGGCCTTTCAAAATGAAGCACCTACCAAATGAGGATTTAATTTAGTTTTAAGATTTCATTTATTGTCTATTAATAAAGTACTAYATAATAACTAAAACCACATTTATTGAAGCTGTTGTGATTATGTAACAGACTATTATGTTTCTAATAATTAGCTGGCACCACTCAATTACATATGAATTAAAGAAATTGTGTAGCTTACTTGGGAGCCAGTGGTTGTTCTTAACWTGGGTTTGGTGTTAGTAACCAGAGCAACATCATGCTCTGGAGATGAGGTTTATCCTAGGCGACAGCTGACCACATTTTTGCCTTATGCTGTCATTCTTGACATGTAAAGATCATCCTAAAACTGGGAGAGCAGGAAAGCTAGAGATCAGGAATAGGGAAGAGCCTCACCCAAGGTAACACATCTGGAAGTCTGAGGTGGAACAACATATGAACAGATTCTTCCTCAAGTTCCTCTCTCTCTTCATGTAGCCTGGAATTGTGCATGGAAATCTTGCCTATGCTGCTATTCCATAACCCATAGGAATCTCTTAACCACTTGCTTAGCATTCCCTTGTGGTGCCACAGTCTCTTTCTGGGGGGAAAAAAAAAAAAACAAAAAAAAAACAAACACACTTTGAAAGGTCTTCTTTTCATCGTGATGTGGAAAGAGAACATTTATGAAATCTCAGTTTCATAGGGTGGGAAAATTGTTTCCCTCTCTGCTTTAAAGCAGGTTGATAAAAGACTCATGATAGCAATTGAATGCTGGGGAGATTTTTGATCTGTGCAGCTGTGCATAATACTTATTATTTTTACAAGTCACTGGAGGCATTTGGTAGGGTCAGCATGGTTAGAAATCTGGACCTGAAAGTGAAAAAAGTGTCTGTCGCAGAGGCCAGTTTTTAATTGGAAACTAAATTTAATTTTAGAGGAAGAGGAAAATACCACACTTCTAATGAGATCCAGGGCACTTCAGAGAGCAGCCTGCAAAAAATATTTAAATGGAAAAGTCCTGTTCAGAAAGACCTGTTGTAAATGAATTCTTGATATTGTAGGTAGATAAATGCACTTGAGCTCATGCCACACAAATGAGAAAACATACATGAAATGTGCTGATGATTTAAAGTAAGATTTTGAGAATAATCTTTACTTTGATCAGGAAAAGTGGATTTTTGAGCTGTTCAAAGAAGTTATGGCAAAGGGTTTTCTTTCTTTCGTAAAATGTTTGGATAGAGATTCTTTTCATGTGAAAGTGGAAAGCAGGGACCGAACTTCATTGTAAGTGAAAATTTCCAGTTTTCAAAGATGCTTTTAATTAAAAGACAAATTGAGAGGGTTTTTGATTCCTAGTGGGGTTTTTGTTTTGCTTTGCTTTGCTTTTTTTTTAAGTTTGGAGTTCTGCACCTTGAAATTGTTCAGGCCATTCAAAAGGTAGTAGAAATTTTGGTATTTATCTTGAGAAGCTTTGAGAAGAGGTAGTGATGTTTTCCTTAGGCATTCTGTTCAAGTGAAGTGAAAACTCCAACTCATATTTTGGCCCAGGTTATAAAAAGTCACTTGTGAAGGAACAGGCTTTTATGCTTTGTGCATGGCCACAGACAGAGGATGAAGAGGGAGGAAGGAAAAACTTCTCTGCCTGTTCCAGCAAGACACTGGGGACAACCCTGGAGATGGGATGGAGAGGGATGCAGTGGCCCTCGCAAAACCAAAACCAGGCTTTACTCCCTCAAGACAAAAGAGAGAGGAGAGAAAGGTTTCCTCTTCCTGTTTTCCCTTATTTGCATCTCTTGAAGAAAGAAGAAACTTTCAGTGGAGACAAATATAATGCCCTTTCCTTCCTCCGTTTGATTCTTGAGCTAGATCTTAACCTATCTTAACATATTAGAGTTGTGAGGTCAAATATCTAAGCAGAAAGTGAATGCATGTGAAAGGATGCAGGTTCCTCTGTAGTGTCCTCATGCAGTAATTAAATACAAGTCAGAGCTAAAAGGGGTAAGTAAAACAGATACAAGAGAAAAACTTGGGTGAGAGTGGCTCTCTTTCCTTGGGCTGCTACTGCAAGACTGAATGGAAGGACCAAATCTGATGAAAACAGACATTCCAGCACAAACAAAGACTAGGGAGTAAGTGTAATACCTGCTTCCATTGCACACGTTGAACACTGCTTAGGTTTTTAGCTGTACAGAACCAATCAAGTCTGATTTGAGTGGGTTATCTCCATATGAAGGAGAATAGTACAACTATAGTACAAGGAAGGAGAATAGTACAACTATAAAACTTGTGAACTAACAGGCTTTAATTCTCCTGTTTTGCAGTAGGGCTGACTATGTCCCTGCTCTGGATGTGGTGGGAGAAGGTTAAATAAAGGGGAGGAGAGAAGGAAATGATACATGCAGAAACCACTTTTTGCCTTCCTTCCATCATATATTCAGTAGATAATGAAATTTCTCAACTGATTAGATGCCCCATTGGTTGGAAAATTTGGAAGCAATCATGCAATTATATCACAAAACCTCAGAGTCATGTATATTCAGCCAAGTAGAAAAACCAAGCTATTAGCAAAAATAGAGAGAGAAGAAAAGAAGAAAAAAAAAATAATTATATTGCAATACTCGTCCTAAAAAAATGGAAAAGAAAACACAATGGAAACTTTTCTGCAAACAATTAAGGAAGGGGGAGAAAAGCTCTGGATGGGGCTGGTGTTGCAGGATAAATATAGAATTTATAACATAGTAAGAGCTGTTTTTGGTGGGTTTTAATTGAAACTACATTGCCTGCCCCTCTGCTGCTGAATCTTTTTGCTACAGTCCGTGAGAAAAAGGAGGACTGGGTGATTTTCGTAAGAAGGAACTGCTGCATCTCACGGAAGAAGACAATGACTGGCAATGCTCATTGTGAGCACTTGGGGCACTTCGGTAAACAGGGATATGGACTTGTGCTCTGCTCCACACCACAGTGTCTCTCCTCCTGACAGACTCTGTTCAGTCACCCTCTGTTCCAGAGGCCGTTAGACATAAATATAATTTAGTTAAATGAAGCCATTTGCTTAAATTAATGCCCATTTTCTTTTCCTTTACTTTTCCAATAGGAAGGTTCCTTGCTTGTCTTGCTGAGAAAATCATCTACATAAGAATCCAGAAGCACAATGGAACCATTTGGGGGTGAAAACTGCCCCCTGCCCCTGCAGAAATCATGATGGTTTATTTTTGCTCTTGGGCTTGGGACTTAATCTCAGAGCTAACAAGCTCTCTGTCAACAGCCTCCTTCCTTACAGTTGTCTGCCCTAAGATGCCACTGAAATTTGGTGTCTCTGTCTCTTGCACATGGAGGATGGGACAACATTCAGAACGGAGCATTTTTGCTGTATTGTTCAAAAGATAGGTGCGACAAGATCATCACAGGAGGATAGGCTGTCTGTGAAAGAAGGACAGTCATCTGCAGAGTACGGTCTGCAATGAGCTCTGTGCCACATCAGCTTCCCATAATCTGAAAACTTGGCCTAACCTATTGCACAGATAAAAAGGTAGACCTGAGATTCAAAATCTGTCCCACGTCCACCTTTTCTCTTTTTCCTGTCTTCTTTTTTTCCTTTTCTTTTTTTTTTTCMTTTTCTTTTTAATGGACTTCAAATGAACCTTAAATCCTGTTCCACTGAGAGACAAGTAGGAAAAGGTGGGCCAGGATGAGGTGGGGCAGAGGAGCTAAGAGGAAAAAATAAATATTAGCATATTGCTGGCACATGTGAATGGAAAAATAATAATAATAAAAAGACTGAGGTGATCCAAAGCATAAATTGAACCTGAGTTATCCACTTACTAATTACTTTGCCTTGTCTCCATTCTGATTGTGACAATTGGTGTCTTCCCACAGAAGGATTCATTCCCACCCTTCCTGTTGGGATTTGAAATACTTCACTGGTTTTGATGTCTCAGTACCTCACTATTAATGGAAGCAAAGTATCCCTTCTCTTTGGCACCACAGACATGTGAAATTCACTACGAACTAGAAATATTTTTATTATTTTAATTTTATTTTTTTCCAAGACAAAAAGGAAATATTTGGCAAGTCCATGCTTGCTTGGTACTGTGGTTTGATCTGGTTCCCCAGAAAAATGGGGGCTGTTCTTTGGATTCTGCAAAGCCTCCTGGAGTGAAGGGAAATTGGTGGCTCTTTGGGAACTTCCTGGAATGTGAAATACCATTTGATACTGGTTTTGTGTCTTCAGATACTTGGGATTTCTGGAATCTGAGAGATCCATAGAGAGCCAGAATAGGATGCACAATTAGACGAGGAAAAAAAGAGGAACTCATTAAGAAAATTTTCAGAGCAGAAACTGCAAGAGAGCAGTTGCATCCTCCTCCTCCTTCTTTGCATGAATTTTGAGATCCAATGGAAAACAGACTGGAGCTGGATCCAGGCCTTCTAGAGGCAGAAATGTGTTTTTGTTTTGCTTTCCGCCAGCCACTCAACACCCCAATTTTTTCTCTGTGTATTGTAGGAAAAAAAAAGAAAAAGAAAAAGAAAAAAAAAGGTTTCAGCAAAGCTCTTTGCCCACCGGCTCTCACTGTCCCACTGGGTATTTTACAGAATTTAGGTGCCAGCAGGAACAGAGTTTTTTAATGGGAATTATCTGGCCTAGTATCTGGGTGCTTGTAGACAAATCTGTCCCATGGCATGAAAAATCAATGCCAGTCTCTAATCTGACACTGAAGTGCTGGCACTCTTACTAGGCAAATCACCGGGAGCAGCTATAAAGGGAACCCTTGAACAATCCTTTAACTCTCAGGTGGAAGTATGTGAAATGAAGGAACTGAGAGACAGGCATCCAAGTCTATCAGTTCAACTTCTTATTAATTTATCTTTTTTATGCTTCAGCATCCCCCATACTCTGACTGTTACAATATATAAAATCCGG